GCTGTAATCCTGGGGGCGCAGGCCCGGCGGGCCTGGCGTAGTTTGCTCGCTGCGGAAGCGGGGCTTCTCGGGTGGCCCTGGTGCAAGCTTCGTTGTGTCTGGTGCGTTTTAGCTGCAGAAGTCGGGAAATGAAATGGGGTCTTCACGGAAAAATTAGTTGAAGTGCACCGCTTGTCTCGCTCCAGAGCGATAGCCAGAACTGTAGCGCTGTGTAGTCTTTCGTCATCTTAGCCGTATGACGTTACTGCAGTTGGTTTCCGTCTTTCTGAGGCAATTGAAATGAATGCCTGCCTCGCTGTAATGGGTAGTACTAACTGTCTGCATTCACATACTCGCCAACCTGTCCACGTTAAACTTGGTAAGAAAACTTTGACGTTTGCATTTCCGCTTCACAAAACATACGGGGAGGAAGTTCATATTTCAGCCTGGTTTAATCTGAGAAAATCAGTAAAAAATCTTTTCTGCTTTTTTCAAATTAAGGGTTGATCCTTTCTCCAAAAAGGACTGGTATGATGTCAAAGCACCAGCAATGTTTAATATCCGAAACATCGGGAAGACGCTTGTCACCAGGACTCAAGGAACTAGTGAGTAGTGGGGTTTTATGCAGTAGTGGGAGATGTATTTGTTTCATGTGCTAGCTCCAAATGAGACTCGATTAAAGAACTGCTGACAAATAGTTTTTGCTCATAATATTATGAACCTGGAAGTTTAAAAAAAAAAAAAAGTGCCTCTATCTTAATTGCTCGAGTTAAGTGAGTTTTCTTAAGTTGACAGAGTTGTTTAAACCAGTGAGCTTAGTTGCAGGGAAATTAATGCGGTGTGGTCCTTGTTTGTAGAAGAGCACCAAACCGTGGATATGATACGGAAGGACATGCCCGAAGTTTCTAATGAACTGCTGTTGTGGTAACCCGATGAATTTGAGGAAAGCTAAGAATTAAGGAGTCTTTCTGATTATCAGAAAGAGAGATGAGAGGATCATGGTCATAATAGGATCATAAAGACCATCGCCTTACGAGGGACTGAAATTTGAAACTTTTAGGTAAAGAGAGATCTCTGAGAGCTAGAATTGTTAACTTAATGGGAGCATATGTAGATGTACCACTGAATGGTAAAGGGTTTTTTTGTATAAAGGTTTTTCTTATACATATAGGAAAAGGGAGCCTCTGTTAGGAATGCAGGATGATCTGGATGGAGGTAGCTATTTTTGGAAGGTTAGCTGTGTAGAATGGCTAAATAGTTGAGTTACACTATTCTGGTTGCACTTACAGTTACGAAGATGATCATTATTTTGAACTGTATATATGTGAAACAAGTAAAATAAGGGTCACTGTAACCAAGAACGAGTCAGCCAGTGTTAAAATGGTCAGTTGTTAGAGCTGTGAAACGACTGTACTTAGGTGTTTGTTACTGCTTTATCTCAGCTGAGCACGTGTGGCTTTTTATGTTTCTCTTTTCATTATTGTTCATAATTTCCAAATACTTTGTAACCCCTTCCACTTTAAAAAAAAAAACCCTATTATATATGCTGGAATCTGCAGTATACTGGTATTTGTGTTCAGCATCTGATACAATTCTCTTAAAAAGATTCCTCACAAAGTTAACAAAATACAGTATTTGGTTCTATGAGTTGATTTGATCTTGTTCAAGATACATGCAAACTTCAGAGCTGTGAAGCTAGTGGCATCACCTGCTATTGGAAAGCATCAAATGGAATTTCAGTATGTGATTTGAATAGGACTTTTCTGATGTTAACAAAAGGCGTTTTATTTTGTTTCATAATGCAGAAATCGCCTCTGACGGACTGAAGGGTCGTGTATTTGAAGTGAGTCTGGCTGATCTGCAGAATGATGAGGTGGCCTTCCGTAAATTTAAACTGATAACTGAGGACGTTCAGGGCAAAAATTGTCTGACCAACTTCCATGGAATGGACCTCACCCGGGATAAAATGTGCTCCATGGTCAAAAAATGGCAGGTGTGTAAAGAACAAGGCCTGCGTTGTTGCTAGTGCCTTTAGGAAAGGAGGTAACCACTGATGCATTGCAAAGCTATGTTTGAAGTGGGCTCGGCAGATACTAATGAATGTCAGGTGCGTGGTTTTGAGAAACGCGTCTGTCACGTTGATGATAAACGGCCATTTCTTTTTTAGACAATGATCGAAGCCCATGTAGATGTCAAAACCACTGATGGTTACCTACTGCGCCTCTTCTGCGTGGGTTTTACAAAGAAGCGTAACAACCAAATCCGCAAAACCTCGTATGCCCAGCATCAGCAGGTTCGACAGATTCGCAAGAAGATGATGGAAATCATGACCCGAGAGGTCCAAACCAATGACCTGAAAGAAGTTGTCAATAAGCTGTAAGCTTTGGCTGTGTCTTTGTTTTTCTCCCCTACAGTTTAAATAGTTATTTGCTGGTCAGTTGTTACTGAGTATTGAGGGAATGCTGGTGCTTCACGTACTGTTTGGCAGAGACCACGCAAGGCGCCTCTTGTGCTGAAAAGCTGACCTGCCATTTTCTTCGAATACTCTCTTAGTCTCTGCATCATTTGACTTCCATCAACCATCACGTTTGCATGAATGTAAAATCAGGCTCTCCAGAGACTTTTGATTTAGTCCGTTTCTACAGACTAAAATTGTAATTCTGGCCAGTTGGCGCTGTGAATGTTCCGGGTTCTTCTGACAGAAGGAAGTTTTCCAAAGTGTGGTGTTTGCTTCCAAAAGTTTGATTGCAGATTTGCTCTCAAAATGAGCACGCTTGTGCTATATCCCTTCTAACATTGCAAGGAAAACGTCTTAGAATCTAAACGTACTTGAAGAAAACTGTCAGAGCGTGAAGGTAGTATTGATGATGCAAACTTCTATAGAATATTACGCGTTCCTAAGAATTACTTTAAGCCTGTGTTGCTGATGAAGTAGCAGGCATAATTTTTAACGTTCTGGTACTGATGTGCTCTCTGATTTTTTCAGGATCCCAGACAGCATTGGCAAAGACATAGAGAAAGCGTGTCAGTCCATTTACCCTCTTCACGATGTCTATGTCCGCAAGGTTAAGATGCTGAAGAAGCCCAAGTTTGAATGTAAGTCGATTACTGCAACTGTTTAGTGTTTTTAGAGGAGGATGTGTGAAGCCATTACTTTAAAATGCATTTGCTTTTGGATAAAGGTGTTAAAGCAGCATCATAAACTTAAGTAGCTGTAGTAGTTAAAAGGCTTGTCCTGCTAGTCCGACAAAGCAGTGAGCGTTCCGTTTGGAGCTTTCTTGAATTCTTGCCTGAAACTGCTGCCGAATGTCTAAAGGCTTTAGCTTGGGAATGAATGATGACAAAATGTTTCGGTCCCAGATGACAGGGAATGATTCCATTTTCCCATTTTCTGACATTCCCATGTAATGAAGTAGTAGGTTCTTGACTTACCTGTTTTTAAAAAAAAAGTTTAATTTGCAATTTCATTATGTAGCACTTATTTCACTGCTTGTTTTTGTCTGACCCTGTCAGTTGTTGCAGCAGCATCTCCTTGCATGAGCTTTCTGGAGAGGACTCGATCATACCTACTTTAAATGTTCTGGTGGTTTAATTTGTGTATGATGAGCAATTCAGTAATTTAAAACTGTTTTAAACAGGTGTGTCTCTCACTATTTATAATATTTCTTCTTTTTAGTGGGCAAGCTGATGGAACTGCATGGTGAAGGTGGTGGTGCTGGAAAACCTTCTGGGGATGAGGCAGGCACTAAAGTAGAGCGGGCTGATGGATATGAGCCACCTGTGCAAGAGTCTGTCTGAAACTAAAAATTGATCGAAAATAAAAGTTTTAATATACAGAACTAAAGTTTGGTTGCCTGTATTGCTACTGGACAATATTGGTACTGGATATGTGAATGCGTTTTTAAAAAGGTAAACCTATTGCCTTGGTTTAAAAAAAAAGGAAAAAATACTTGCTTTGGAGATCCGTTTTTCATGATTGGTGTTGCCAGATGGGTGCAAGAAGGTGGTTTGTCCTTCTTGAAAGGTGCTATTGGAAAGTACAATACCAAGGATTCTGTATGTTGGTTTTTTCCCAGTGACTTTGGTCCTCGCAAAAGAAATCTTGTGGAACGTGTGCAGAGGTTGTAGCTTCTGTTATATTGGTGAAAGATGCTTGAAAGAGGAGCACTGTACAGTGGAATGCGGTGCCACACAGGGAAACTTACTGTTTCAGAATTTTTTATTGTAAGGAAGCTTTGGGGATTTATCAGACTTACTTGCTTGAGAAATTCGTATGCGTATGTTTAAGCTTCTTGGTGGTAACTTATTTGATATGGCCTCTCATGGGATAGATTTGGTCTCTGATCCTCAAAAAGTGTTAAAAGATCTTTAAGTTGTAATTTTGATTACGGAAGCCGTTAGTCTTGAGCAGTGTAGAAATGAAGAATATGCTCAAGAGCAGGGTTGTATGTAGTTTTTTAACCTCTATCAGAACTGAGGGGTAACCGTAATCACAGTTGAAAAACCTGTGGAACTTCAGGGGACAAAATTCTACCGTAAAAAGGCAAGGGTCCATGTTCTGAAAATAAAGTACTCGTAAGTGATTTGCTGAGTAATTTTGAGTGCTTTTTCCATTACCTGATAGTATTTTCGCTTGTGGTTCAGCTTATGCTGGCTTAAAAATTGACGAGTGTGTTTTTCTGGCTAAAACAAGGAGTATTTTGCACTATCAGCATGTTTTCTTTAGAACTGGGCAACAAACCTAAACTTCGTGCTATTAAATTGTTGGCAAGTCTGTGATTTAAAACCTGAGAACAAAACGGTACTGACCTATTTGGGGAGGTCGCTGAGGTGGCGGGGGCTCTTGCAGTCAGCTGTGAAATAGCTTAGGACAAGAAAGGGAGGGAAGGAATGAAATGTTACTGTTGCAACTAAGATAACTAGGGGAAAAGTAGAGCGAGGCTACCCACGAGGGCTGTACTCTTCAACGTCGGGGATTTTAACCTTTTCCTAGTTGATAATTCTGGTTTGGAGCAAATACTATGCAAAACGAAAAGGATGTTTTCCAATTTATTTAGAAGACTGCAGGTTGATGTGATTTCATGTTGCAATTCCAAGTTACTACTTTAATATGGGGGATGATATTTAGAACAGCCCATGACTTAATATTCAGGTAACCATCTTCATTGGATTGTAAATATAGGCCTACATGTTCTGCTTTTTCCAGTTTGCGTAGTGGAAGAGTAGTGAGTGCTCAAAACTTTCATGATGCTGAAACAGGAGAATGGAATACTGCTGCTTTTGGTCTTCGCTTTGCTCTTTTCATCTGTACTGTTGAGGCAGGTGTCGTTCTCCTCTGGGGGTCCCAGACAGTCATATTTTTGAAACCATAAATTGCAACAAATTCCCCTTCACTTCTTTAAAAAATGAGAACTTTTCACGGGAGTTAGGAAAAGAAACCATGATTTAGGGTAAGTGTAGTGAGGTTGAAAATCCTTGAACCTACTACAGAAAGTTTTAATGCAGGTGTGTATATATGTATATATTCAAGCCCTGCATGACAGTAAGATCTGTCAGAGCGTTCTAGTAACGGACGTGTGTTGGCTGTATTTTCTCTGCTTAGCAGTAGTTCCATCAAACAAATCCTAAGGGACTGTACTGGCCTCTGTAGGCTAGGAGAGTCACAAATCCTAAGGTGTCATTTCTGAAAACTTGCGTGTCTTTTATCCTGTTACTTTTTCCTTCAGCTGTACGCCTGAGGAATATATGTTGCAAAAAGGCTAGTACAAGAGCATTTTCGGAAAGAACAAAACTTGCTTTTTTTTCAGGTTTTCAAAAATTGTTCTACCGTTTCATGCTGTTCTGGTTTGGGTTTTTGGGGTTTTTTTTAATGGAACAGTAGACCGCTGGCATTACCACATAGGGGCTCTGGGTAAATGTATGCTTTATAAAATTATTTCAGATGGAGAAAAGTAAGCAGGAAGGAAAATTTTGTGCATCCTCTGTATTGTCTCTACAAAAAAAAAAAAATCATGGTGTATGAATAGCAGCAGTCAACAGAGCACACTTAAAGTATGTGTGGAATTGCTAATGAGCTCAGGCTCAGCTTGTGTCTTCCGTCACAGGCGATCTTGCCACAGCAAGAGCAGAGCATCACCATCTTGCGTGATACCCTGGGATGACGGCTGGTTGCCACAGGTAGCAAGTGTCATGGGTTCTGCAGGTGGCAGATTCTGCAGGTGGCAAGTGTGAAACGTACCTGAGGCCGAAGGCTTGAATTAAACTGTGTTAAAGCCATCAGGATTCTATGAGGGGTTTGGACTACTCAAAAGAGATGCAATACTACTGTATTACTTGTTTGGGGGTGCTTGGAGGGGTTGTTTTTGCTGTTGGGTTAAATACGTAAGCAGAATGAGATCCATAAAACTCATGTCAAGTGGAGAGCTCAGCTCTCCACAGCATAAGACAATAAAAATGCCATCATGACTTAATTATAAAAAATTTTATTGGTTAAATACATTCTTAATTTACAGAGGTACCATAACAAACTTACTGGGCTTAACAAAGGTTTATTTAGGACGCTGTTAATTGTAGACAGACAAAGACGTCTTCCTGAAGATATTTCCAGAGGGTGGGTCAAGCAGAAAATGTTCTGACAAATGAGGCTTTTATTATTGTACCAATGTATGGGGGTCTAGCTGAATTTCAAGGTTACACCTGAAATTTGCTACTATATTGCAGTTACGATTTGTGCTCCACCTCATTCTCACTTTTTTTGCAAAATATGTACTGTACACCGTAGGAATTTTATGTTATGATCTGTATGCAGTTTCATGGTGATATCAGGCATCAAGTCTTAAGAAAATCCCTTCCTGTAAAAGCCAAGCATCTAACTTGTTTCAGTCTTAATAAATACACCTTGTTTTAGTTGCCTGCAGTAATGCAAGCAGCCTTTAGATGGCACTCCTTGCTCTGAATATAAGGCTTTGCTGCTCTTCTGCCCTGCATAATAGGGAGGAGATGATTAAAACAAAGGAGAGCGGTCTTATCTACTGACAGGCACTGACTTTAAACATTCAGTGGAAGTTAGAAAAACAACTGGTCAATACACACTTATAAAAACGGGGAAGAGGAAATTGAAAAAAATATAAAAAAATCAGTTCTACTTTTGAGACTTGTATCAAAATCTTAGAAAACTGCCAGACAGTAAGTAAGTAAACATCATCATACATGTAAGCCTCATCCACCACCACAATGATGCGGTATGTCTTTGGAGGACCTGGGTATTCTGTCTGTTGGTGTGGGCTTTGCTTGGTTCTGCTGTTCTCCCCCTGCTGTGCGCACCGTGGAGGTTCAGGAATTGTGCTGGCACAGGGCATGGTGGAAGAAGCCTGTTCGAATAGGGTGATCCACTGAAAGTTTATGGTTGAAAAGTCTGAGTGGCTTGCAGGAGTCAGAAAATCCTATCTATGTGTATATTTGTTACCTCCTAGAGGAATCCAAGGAATCTGTTTTATTGGAATAAACAAGAACCTTCAGCATCTCCTGGCAGGAGAGCCTGGAGTAGGAAGGGTTGTCCTTGGAGGTGGACTTGCCAATGACCTCATGTCTGTGCTGCGTGTTCCTTGGGTTCACTTCAGGCAAGCTCCAGTCTGCTACCAAGACTGGATGCCTGTTCCCTGCTGCGGGGGAGTCCTTCAGCTCAGTTTTGGCTGTAAGCTTGCTTCTGCCTGCTGTGATGGTAACCGAAGTGCAGTGCATGGGGCGGGGAGGGCTACCCTTGCCAGCTTGCTTAGTCGCCAATTTAGATGCACCCCGATCTTTTGTGGCAGTAGGTGTTTGTAGCCATAATACTTGGACCTCGTGTCGATAAAGTTGTAAGCAGACGTAGTCTGAGTCAAAACTTTCTCAAGGTCAATCATGATGATTCTAGTTTCCAGTCTCCATCTGCCACTCAACTGTTGGCCCTTCTGCAACCTGAACTTCCAGACCCACAAAGAAAATTCTTGTAAGGATATCTTCATGCCTGGTGACCTGCATCTCTCTGAAGTAATGACTCGTGCGAACAGCTTACTGGTTCCTTTTTATTATACAGTGCAAAAGTGATGGAATACTGTCAGCAACGAAAGAGCCAACTGGAGCATAACTTTTTTTCTATTCCAGTCTGATGAAGTTAGCAGTTAATCGAGATGCATTTAACTATTTCGTCAGAAGCCAAGTGTTGCAAAAAGGAGTTTACTACCAGAAGTTCCTATAATGTGAAACTACCTCAATCACGTCTGTCTTAATTTGTCATTCAGGTCACACTGCTGCTTTTTACTAAATGCTTTTGTTAGAGCTTCTTGAAGTAACCTCTTGCCAGGCGTGTTTTCCTTAAGGCCTTGATAGACCATTTATAATGATGCTCTGTATAGTTGGTATGTGGTAACAAACTGAAAATTAATCCTATGTCTGCTGAAACCTAAAACCAAGGCTGTATAATATCCCTTATGTTAAGGATAGGAATAGTGTTACTGAAGTATGTTCCAGTGCTTGAGTGACAAATGAAATGCAGACTGAGTGAAGACTGGCTTTCCACTTACAGGAAGGGGGTGGAGGAGCAAATAGTTGGCATAGTGCAGCTACTGCATGGAGGGGATCTGAGAAAGCTCAGTAAATGCTGTCTGTCACAACTAACTTCAGCTGGGAAAGAAGGGTATGGTATGATGGTGCTCGAAGAACAGTGAAAAAACCTATCTGGAAAGGATTTTGGGGGAGGGAGGAAGGTCTAAGATGATTCATACTGATTTGAACATTATTCGTTAAGAGGCAAAATAGTTAAGTTTTACTCTTGTGATCTTCCTGTATGAGCAGCTTGGGCTAAGAATAGAAGAATACTACACAAGGATTTGCTTCTGAGTTTTCCCTCTTACCAGTATTAGATTTGATATTTTTCTACTATGAAATATCAGTTATCTTTCTTCCTTATCCTCTAAGTCATAAAACAAGTGGATTCTACTGCTAATGTGGAAGTCAAGCAGTAACGAGACCTGAATATCAAACTTGATCTACATACTGAATGCTGTAATTATATCTTAAAAACAGTTTTTTAGATTTGGATTTAAAAAGTTTTTAAAGAAGCCCAAAGCAGCTTACTTTATGCAGACTTTGTACATGATAAATATAATACCAGATAGTAAACATACTAGAATGCTATTTAAGTTAAAATGGTGTTGCACCACAGTATTTCCCTAGTTGGAAACCACTAAAAATCCTGCTTGTATTTGCTCTCAGAGCATTCATGAAGCATGACTACATACACTGTCACAAAAGACTAAAATTTTCTTACTTGACTGCAAGACTCTGGTATGACTGTCTAGAAAAAGTAGTGCAAAACATTGATAGTCAAAACACGTTGATGTCTTTGCTGTGCCTTTAGGATAGAAAACATTCTCTCCCAGATGCAGGGAGTACAAAGAGAGGCAACACTTCATGGTGTTTTTAAAATCTGAACAAAGTTCTTGGGAAATATCCCAGACTTTCCTTGTATCTCTCCACTCATCCAGTCCTCGTCTACAGATTCCAGCTCTGTTATTGTATCACCTGCCTGTAAGAGAAGGAGTAACATGAGCCAGTACAGCTTACTGTGCAATGTTAATGCATGCATAGCTGATGTTATTCAGAAGCAACTGATATCAATCAAATAGAAGAGAGTAGGATGTGGCCAGTCTCTTCTGTTGGTTATCTCTCTTCAAGATTGTTTGCCAAAACCAGCTGAAGCATCTCTTAGGGTAAATACTTGTCTATGCTGAAAAATCACCGCCTTCCGGAAGGAAAAAATAGCACTGCTGGATGACTTCTTGCGTTGCTTAAGCTCTCCGGGTAGGTAGGTATGTTGCAGAGCTGGCTCACAGGCCCCCTGCTTTACTTGTTATTTGTGTGTGTTTCCCTGCTCTGTTATGAGGGTTTCTTTTCTTCAGATGCTTCAAAGCTTTTTTTCTTTTTTTAAGAATTTAGTCCCAATATTTTCCAGCACTTGGAAACTCTCCCAAAAAGGAAAGCAATCTTCTAAGTAGCTCAGTGGGGCCGTTTAAAATAAACTGCAGCTCCTATATTTGATCCTTGTCCCTGTTTTCATCATCCCATGCCACACCCTACATCTGAAGTACTGTCATGGCCCTGGCTTTTCTTCCAGTACCTCTGTTCCCTTTTTCTGCTTTAAAGAATCATCTATCCTTTCAGTATTGCAAGCTGCTAATGCTGAAACTGGTAGCTTTAGAAAGAGAAAATAGTGTGTTTCAGCTGATAAACACAATTTGGGGCCTGCTGTGAAAGTCTGTTTCTCGGAAACTTGCTTTTGAGGACAGTTACCTAAATCATGACTTTGAATCTACAAGGGCATGCTGTTTCTTGCTCATGCTTCTTAATATTATCTGGGCATCCAGCAAGTATTTAATTTCTCCCCTTGCTCCCACGGTAACTATGTATCTTGCTGCCAAACTTTTAGATTTTGCTATACTAGGTGTCCCTTAGAGGCATCGCTGCTGTAGCACTGGCACTGTTACTATTGCCCTCCTCGTTGCTGTCTTTCCAGTTAAAAAAGAGGCTCCCGTGACCATATCAAGTGATCAAGAACTGAATGTACTGCAAAATGAGGTTGGTCTTGTCATGTTTACTGGATCAGAGAAGTTGGAGGAATTCTGCAGTTCCTGGCCTCTTTTCAATGTCTCCAGGGAAGATTTCGCCAATATGAAACCGAAGTGGTAAGGGCAAAAATTTTTTGAGATGTGTTAATATCTAGGCCAATTCTACATGCTTTGTTCTTTCCTGTTCAAAGCCTATTTTCACTGTGGATAAATCCTGGTTTTTAGCATTCTTATGCTAAGACCTATGCTAAGACCTTTTGGAAAATTGGACTAAGAAGAAAAGTACTTACTTTGAAGGAAAGCTCATCTTCATTTTCTCCATGAAAATCATAAAGAGCTTTGGCTTTTCCCTTCTTCCCTCCTAGAGACTGTGACAGCTCTACCCTGGCTGCAGAACATGGACAAGACAAGTTATTTGGATTGGAGTGAAATAAATCTCTGTTTCTGGAGAAGTTTTCTGTCATTCTCGTGTTTTCTCCCCACTAGTGTGCTACAGGGTGTCCATATGTTATTACTACTGCTACTTAGCAAATTCACCGTCCTAATGGAATAAAAATCTCTACTGACACCAGTTCATTTTACAGTACTAACAAATTCTCATGGTTCTGCTTCTAAGAGGACTAAATTTAAAGTTCACTTACTTGAACTTTCCAATGGCAATATCTAATAAAAGCTGTCTTTTCCTCTTTGTATGTGGAGATGAAGCAGCACTCGGTATGTGCTCGTTCCAGTTAGGTGGAATTTATTTCCTGTCAACTTTCACTCACGGCTTTACTTGCAAAAACTATGGGGGAAAAAATGTGATTTTCTGTGTCCTCTGTGAAGGTTTTGACTGCATTCATTTGGGGACCAAACAGAAGCTCGAGGAGAACAAGCAGCGTTCATTCCTTGCTTCACCAAGGGCATTACGCAGCAGCTGTAGTTATTTACAGCTCTACCAGCTCTTTGGCTGTGCTGCAGTGTTTCTCTTCAGCTGAGGCAGAACGTGATGCCCCCCATCTTTTGTACCCCTGAATTCCTACTAAAGGCAGCTCAGTGGTCCTGTTTCGCCCATGCCCAAACCACACTTTAAACTGACCCAGAATCTGTGTCACCTCCCAGATGACTCACTGACTAGAGCATTATATTGCCATTATTAGAGAGGGTGGTTCAACACTTAGTTTAGCTTTAGGATATTAAGGACTGTGGGGGTGTGTGGTTTGTTAATGCAATGGAATAGTGGGGTTCTCCCAGAACTCTCTCATGACTGTCACAACCCAAGGAATAATGAATTGCTGTCTAGTAGGAGCACTGTACCTGAGCAGGTCCGAACAAAAACTGCTGGGAAAATTCCTTCCTTTTCATTCAGTCTTCCTCTATACCACTCTGAATCTACTTGCTCCAGTATTTGGATGTAGTCTCCCTTTTTAAAGGATAAATCATCTTTGGTTTCTGCTGTAAAATCATGAAGTGCTTCACACCACTCTACTGAGCGTCTGTTGTTCTATTCAAGTGAACAGAAGAAATGCATTAATTTTAGAAGCGTTAATGGAGCCCATAAGCTGATGGATACTGGTGAAAGCAGCTGTACAGAACACGGGTGTCCTGACTTTCTCTCATACAATAGTGTCCCTGCAGATGTAGACTAGAATGGCATTTCAGCAATTACCACAGAATTTCATCTAGGCTCAGACGCATTCCTTCGGTCTCATTGGTGGCAGGGGACAGGATTAATAAATTCAAAATTAGACCACTGCAGCAATACTTAAAATAGAGCTAAGAAGAATTTGCTTAAGCACAAAGGGTAAAAATTTACTTATGTTAATTTGCCAGAAGCTATGAATTCAATCAGTTTAGGCCAACTGTCATAATTCAAGATGTGACCATGCAGCACTGTGTGCTGTGGGAGTTGTGTTACATTCAGGTTTAAAGCTGTGCAGCTAATCTGACACTATAATAGAAAGTCTATGTAAGTCTATGAAACGGCTATGTAAATTCTGTCCCTCACCTATAAAATTTTATTACCTGAGGAAGAGAGGAAGAAACCTCCACCTTGTTCTTCAGTGCTGCTCCTGTACCTACATAAGTGAAGGACAACTTAGAATAGCAGCAATGACCATTCAAAACCTTACCAATGACAGAGATTTTAGATATTCAAAGTGATTATTAAGAATAACTTCTTAAGACGTCCTACTATTCCTTCCGATTTTTTTAATCTGTCTTTTCTCCCTTTCCAGCTCCTTCCTGCATTCATTGTCCTTTTGGGCTTTTCTCCTACATGCTGCCTATATGCATGCGGGACAAAACCACGTTCTTGAAGATTTTTGCAACCATAGTCATACCTGTTCCAGGCAGATCTTCAATTACTTCCACAAAGTTCAAGGGGAAAATTCCAGATGTGCCTCTGAGCTCTCCTTTGGCCCACTCTTCATTTACATATTCTTTAAGGATAATAGTTTCACCTTCTGAAAAACTGAGCTCATCTTTCTGATCTCCAATATATTCGAATCGTGCTACACATCTTGGGCCTCTGCACAAACAAAAGAGGAACTTACTTTGCTTTTTTATTATTATTGTCCACTTAATAATAAGGCAGCATTGTGAAAAATATGGATTGGTATCTTTAATTAAAATGATGAAAGAATGCACTGAAGATAGAACAGGTGGAAAGTTGGGGTCTAGCCCTGGTTCTCATTTCTGCTTTCTGAGGAGGATGAGTATGGAGTCTGGAGGAGCTGAACGCAACTTCAATTGCATCCCAATTCCTGGCCGTTACAGTATTTTGCATAAGACCCTATTTCTCTTCCAAACAACAACAACAAAAATATCAGTTTGTTTCTGAGCTACCTGTCCCATTTTATATTTTTGCCCATATCCAAGTACGTGTCTCGATATGCTTTTGTTAAGAGTTTGATTTTTTTTGAGCTAGCATCCAATTTAGATGCAGTCAAACATGGGTGGGGGGTGGGTGTTGTGTATTTGTCCCAAATCCCAAATACATGGAGGTTTCATAGGGGGAAGCTAGTTTTTATCTACTTTGACAAACTTTATTCCGTAAAATCTATCCCAGGCATGAGGAAATAAATTATCTATCGAAGAAAGAAACATCAATGCATCTGATAAATTTTACATCATTTGGTATAATACTGAAAAAACAAATTCATTTTTTTCCTCACTTAAATAGATTAATAATTTAATAAACTATTAAAATAAATTTAAGAAATTAAGAAGATTTTTGATTTATCAGAAATACTATGCTGGAAAAAAGTGTTAATAGGCTTTAATTCTTTCTATAGCACCACAGCATACAACCAATGTAAGAAGCTTGACTCCCACCCCTGTCCCCGACTCATATCTTTGCAAAAGCTTCAGGACAGAGCTAGCACTTTCTGTTTCTTTCTTAGTTGCAGAAGCAGCTTTTAAAAATACAGTTTCGGTTAAGACAAGCCAAGCCCTATCTGAGGAACAAACTGAACGATCCCATTGATACTAGTTCCTGCCTCTGCCTGAATTTGCTTTAATTGCTGCAATGAATGATTATGAAATCCAATAAATCATCGTTGAGTAAAAACAGCAGGAAAAGTTGTTCCTTGCCCACAAATCTTAGTACAAGTTGTTTGCAAGTCAGAAATGAAAGTGCTTGAAGTACATTTGATAATTTGATCTGGGGAACTTCAGATTCACCTCTACAGTTATACACTTTTAAGTAGAGAAATCTAACCTGAAGTTCAGCTGTATCCTGTCCCATTTTATCTTGTTCTTTCAAACGCATAGGAGCCCTACCATGTTACATCTTACGAGGATTCCGGAAGCAAGTAACAAGGCCAGGAGCAAAGAGAGGAGAGTGCAATGCTGCTGAAGTTAATATTGGTTCACAGTTTCTGTAACCAATTTTAATGAAAAATTGTGGGAAATGCTCTTCTAATACAGCTCGTAAGAGGAAGGAAAGTGAGTGAAGGGGACTATCTTTATATAAACATTTATGATAAAGTGATCTACCAATTTTTTGAAGCCATGAAGTGAGTTTTTAGGCTTTTTTTTTACCTGAATATGACTCTTACTAAAACATCATACACTTTCAGTTTTGAGAGCTTACTTTTTAAAAATATATTTTGGTGAAGAAACTGTTAACCATATTAACCTCAGCGCAGATAACACCTGCTTCAAAGTTATCTTTCTTTTTACTTCCTAGTAAATCAACACAAGAAAGAAAATAAGATTTATCTGACTCACTTAATACACTGTGATGAACAGGGTATTTTTTTCCTGTTGCTTTCTTCTGGAACATCAATCTAATAAGACAACAAAATAAGTAAAATCTTCCATTTCAAGCTCGTGGCAACATAACTACAATAAACTTGGAACTGGTTAAAATAATCTAATTTTCAGCTAAGCATCAGCTCCAGTTATGACCTCCATGTGACACTCTATAGTCGCTGGCATGCTATGATATATGACAATATTAATGTAGATTTCGGTTTTGTATGCTGATTTCTCATTTGTCAATCTCATGCAAACAAGGAGCGCTATTTAATGTTTTCAGTTATGAAGCTGTTTTACTTGTGGTGTGATTGATTGACAGAATATGGGACTGCATGCTACTACATGTTGTTGCATTTAGCTCCCAACTTTCAATTGGTAATTGCTCTCTATTATTTACTAGCACAATAGATCACAATAGACAAAATTATTGTTTACACTTATCCTTTCTGGGCTTTGGTAGCCAGCTGTCCTCCAAACAAAAACACATCTATCTCACAAATCTCACTTGAATTGGAGAAATATAATTTAGAAAATCAATACACGGATATGTCAAACAGACAGCATTCAAGTTCTTTATCGTAAGAGGACTTCAATTGTGTTTTTGGTGTGACACAAAGGATGATCTGTGAGATGTGTAACACTACAAGCCTGGAGACCCTGGCGAGGAGCTTTGGGTTACAGCTCACTATCGCATGAGCCAGTTCCCATAAAAATCAACAAGAATGTTTCATGAGCTTATGTGAAGGACTGGAGGAAATCATGCTGCCTTTTAGGACAAATAATCTTTGCAGTGCTCTCGCTAGAGGAGCTGGTATCTGTGGTGTTCTGAAGGTTCTATGGGAAGTAATAACCATGTATTATTGTTAGGTGTCCAGACCTAAGCTACTACCCAGCTCAATATTGTAAAACACACTATAGTGTATTGTATAGAGACCTTGTATCAAGATCAAATGTGACATGAACAAACAGGAGAATTCACTCAGGAAATTAGCCTCATGTACTGCACTCTTCTTCCTTTTTTTCTTTTTTTTTTTTAATTTTACTGAAACAAAAGATTTTTGCACTCAAAGGGTAATCACCTTTTATAACTAAAATAGAAATTTGAAACACATCTTCCCTAGCTTTTATGAAGTTGTATCTGTCTGTATCAATGCTGAATTTGACCCCAAATACTCATTCCACTGCTTTAACATAAAACCTTTTCTCTATTAGCCATCAGTAGTAACAAGAGCTTTTAAATTAAATTGTTGGTCTGTGTAGAAGCAGCTAATCAATTTAGCTAACAAATCTTTCTTGTGAAACAAAATCGAGTATCATTCCATTATTACTAACCCCGAGTTTAGTTTTTATTCTTCAGCACTTCTCAAATCTTAAAATTTTTCTCCAATAACACCGTTACAAACTAAACAGACACCCTACACTCTCGGATGGTTACCAAATAGTTGGTATTGTCCATGTAGCAGCAGTGCTCATCTCTGCCAGCTGTCCCGGCTCGGCACAGGCCCCTACTGTCTTTAATGCCCAGCCATACACCTTCACTGCATCCTGGTGTCAGTTTAGCATTCCTTCGTGTCCGTATGGCTGGTGTGGACAGCCCAACGGCCCTTTCTACTGTCACAAAACGGACTTCAATCTCAGACTCAGGCTTGCAATAGATTTGACCCAGCTTTTGACACAGTGAACCATACTGTATCTCTTTTAAAGATGAGGCACTCGATTGCTATTGGGCTCCAAAACAGCACCTGTCTCTTGCCTGCCATTTACTGTCAAGTGTCACATTCAGTGACAGGATTGCTTTAAGCTGCTCATTTGCAACAACACAATCTCCTTGCACTGTGTCAGCACGACCATTTGTGCAGCCACTTAGGCGAATTGATCCAGCTGGAAAATAAATATTCTAGGAAGAAAAATAAACATGTTTTGTCGGGCCCAACTGCTGCCCCAACCTAGTTCACTACGTGGCTATAAAACTGGTGATTCCAGCACAGTTCAAGGGACAAGAAAATGAGAGAAGCTGGGGGGTTGGTGGGAGGCACAAAAAGCAACCATCTTACTGAGTGTTGATTCTTACATGCAGCTGTGAAAAATAATCTGCTCTGTAGACCCTGAGGAACTATCTAGGTTAACAAAGAGAATCTGGTAAGGGCCGTGATTTTCTCACTTGTCTTCAAATTAACAGTAAAATAATCCCCATAACACAAGTTGGTTGTGCCAAATCAAGCATCTTTCTAATACCATACAAACAAGTTGATGTGTCTTCTGTGCTGCCAGAGGGAAAAGAGATTATCTAAATACAGAATGGAGTTAAACACACAGGAGCTATAGTAAAATAGAATCAGAAAACAAATGCAATAGGATCTCATGTAGCGATGTATACAAAGCCTACATACAACTACTTTAACAAAGCTGGCAGGAAATATCCCTGTGCGATTCCCACATTTTCCTCTGTACCACTCGGTATCGATTTTCTCCAAAAGACAAACGATATCTCCAGAATGAAGGTCCAAGTCATCAGCATGCTCTGTAAGACAGCATCATTTCAGTTAACAGCAGTTGTCACACTCACTGTTTTTCTCTAAGTAAAACCTTCTTAATATGAATACCACAGACAAAACCAGAATGAGTTTTCAAAAAGTCTTAACTATACCTGATAAACCAGTTAGCTTTAACTAAAAGACTGGCCCAACTATAGCTAAACCCATGGATTTGAACAACTCTACATGCAGACCTTGCAGGCTGAGCTTCCTCATTGTTTTTAAGCTCTAATTCCTAAGAAAATTCCCATTTGAAAGTCTTGGAGTAAAACAAGCTTCCAGAATATTCACATTTACTTACCTGCAGGAAAATCATGCAGGACTACAGCATGAGGTGCACTTGTGTCAGAAACTTTTGGAGTGTGGTTTGAATCCTGACAACAACAAATAAATTCAAGTAGTTTATAAACCATGGAAGATACTAACAGAGATTCTCTGTTACGTACTCTGAAAGTAATTTTCTGACTTTGGACACAATGTTGTTCTGGTATCAGAGAATCACCTTGGGAGGCAATGGTCAGTATTGGTCACACAGCTACGGGTCTGATTTCTGTATGCCTTTCGCCAGTGTAAACCAGAATGCATTTCACCAAATTCTACTTTTGAGCCGTAGAAGGAAGGGAAGACATCTAACTTTTGCCAGTATAGACAAAGCCTCAGCTATCTCTGTGGGTCAGAAATCTGGAGCACTGATAGCAACTCTCATTGCAAGGGTTGTGGCCAAATTTTGCACTGCTGCTCAGTACTGCATGCCATCAGTTACTCTTCCTTGCTCAGAGAGAACCCCCCAGCCCAACTCTCCCCAGCACACTCAACAAGGGCAGCACATCTGCCGACTGCCAAGCATTTTAGAGGGGCGAGCAAGCCACTAGGCCTTTGTTTACAGGAAGATAATGCTGAGGGAAAATGACAATTTTGTATGGGATCTTTATAAAAGGAAATTATATTGAAGATGCTGAGCCTTCTTCTCTATCCCACCCACTAGGAATTTTTAGACTGTACCAATGACAATCACTGTGCGTGAATTACATTCAAAGTAATTCATTGCGTACAAAAACCCAACCGAAAAAGCCCAACATGGACAAAGATAAGGCCAGAATAATACGAATTACAACAGATAACAACAGATTGCACAGAAATCTATTTCAGCCATGTAGGTTTCTGATGATAATCAAAAAGGCTGCTCATAGCTATAATTTATGCTAGCTATTTAATATTAATACAGTCATGCCCTAAAAACAGATTAGGTTCTGTACAAGCAGAGAGAGGAAAATACTTTGAAGTCTGTGTGTCAAAGCCAATTCACTGATATATCACGTACAGCACTTCATAAAACTACTCGCTTATCTTTTGCCCACTTTTCAGATACTCAGCCAAGGAAGTGATTATCTTCCTATGAGACAGAGGAACTTTACCAGTTTCTTCTCCCTTCTGGCACTCCAAGTAATTACTGTTGCTCTGCTCCATAAGCAGAATGTCCCTGTGCTAGAAGGCAAATCACCATTACTGGGTTTTGTTTTGGTGGTTGTTTTGTTTTCATTAAAGAAACACAAGGATTTAATAAACCACTATTAAATTTCTCAGTGTAACCTTTAAAGCCTAAAGCACTTGATACTTTAATGCAACAGGAGTCTTGCTCATTAAATATTTATCAGCAGAAAAAAATGCCTTACCTTACAGGACAGTTCTCCAGTGTTCCTAGGAAGACAGTCTTCCCTGGCAACTCCATGAGGCACAGGTAGCTTGAATAGAAACAGAGGCAAATGGAAAAGTTTGTTTCACTTCTAAGCATCTGGAATTCCCACTACAAGTGAAAAAGGGCAGACGATGGAACTATTCAAACCACCTACTACAGGTAACTAATTTAGGAGTCCAGTGGAAGAGGATAAGCGCACTCGGAAGGCATTCAGAACGGACTGCTGGTGATATGAACTGCCACTTTGAGAAACCCAGGTGTTGTCATCCACTTTAAAAGTGTCTTAGCCACCTAACTGGTATCATACCATACGATACATGATGTTCAGCAACACACTGACACAGAAATGTATTCATTTGTCATGGAGGGCACTGGAAAAACAACCTGGGAGGAAAATTTCATTGACAGCAACACTTGAGGGCAGGGAATTACTAGTGATCTGCTACTGAAAAAAATCTCATCTACAAAAATACGTCCACATTTCTTATGTAAATAGGTGTGGCTACATCAGAGAGGAAGCAACATGCTTCCCTTATCTGAAAGCTGTTCCTACTATCAACTTAGATACATCTTTCTCTCTCTTGCTCCTCTGCTCCACCAAGGATCTAAATGCAGGAGTGAAGATCAAAAATAAGGCAACTGAAAGCTTCCACTTCATGCTGAATGTTGATGTTGTTCATGCTACGGTTGCGGGGGTGCTTTGTTTTTTTTGCCAACCGCACTGGTTCAAGCAGTCACCAGGTCTGAGCACTGACCAGTTTCAAGTATCTGGGGAAAGACTCTCTCCTTTTTATCTGTAATGTTCATCTGTTTATATTTAATATTCCCTAACAACACATGGAATACCAGAAAGAAACATTTTTATAATGAAAAGGGATGGCATCAATAGGATGAAAATGTAAGATAAGTAATGTTACGTTCCTCACTCTTTGCAGGCTTGATTAAGCAAGGTAAACTACTTTTTAAGTTCTAATCCTCCCCCAATTTCCTTAAGCATTTTGACATATACAGGGAAAAACAATATACAAACACAATTATTTAGCACCATTTTATGTGCTGCAATAGAATTCAGAACTGGTGACTGTAAAAAGAACCCCCAAAAACCAAAAGCTATGCATTAAAGATATATATATAAAAATTACATATATACACAAAAATACACACACATATATCTATACTTTGCATGTATATATTGCTTTCTCCAGTATTACCTTACAGGACTCATTACTATTTATCTATTAGTATTTTCTGAGAAAGATTACGCTGATAGATGCACTTTGAAAGCCACATCATAGTAACCTACCTTACTACCTTTTTCACTACTATTTTAACCAGCACTGTTTTATAAACAACAGTCTCAGATAGTATATCTCAACTCTCACCATGTATTTATTGTAGAGAGGATGACCCGGTTTAGGTCTAGGAGGTAATGCTGGATCTGGATTTTTAAAGACTTGACTTTTTGCTCTCTTGGGTCCCAATCTGAACTTGCTGGGTTTTTTATCAGGAGCAATGTCAGAAGTAGATCGCAAAAGAGCATCCTTCTGGGAGGAGGTCTTGGCTGCAGAGAGTTTTGGTGGAGGTGGTCTTCCAGGAACACCTTTAGGTGGGGGAGGTCGAGCAGGTATAATTTTTCCATCCACAGGCCTAAAAATTGGGCAAACCATCAGAGAAATATGCATATTAATAAGCCCGTCACCTCATCCTCCACCACAGCCCTAGTTATAGAGTATGCAATAAGGAAACGTGACTCATGATGACCTGGGCTGTAGAACGTGTAGTATCTGAAGCTCTCCGGGAATACATGAACTCTTCAGATACTGGGACTGGATGATCAAGTCCTTAGACAGATCCTTTGACTACATATTTCCAAGTCTGCTCACCACTTTCGCTTATCAACAGCCTGCCAGCTTTCTCGGGAGCCCACTATGTAAGCAGGATTTCTTTCAGTAATCTACCTTTAGAAAGAGCTTTGTCTGAAGCTGCCTCAGGATGGAGTTCTTCTAGTGGAGAGCTTCAGTGAAAGCCCTGAGAAACTGCTGATCTAGCTGGTCTTCAGGAATCAGCCTAGCTCATTCCTTGGGATGTCACTTACCTGAAGTGACTTTTGGGCCTCTGCTGAAACTCACTGAAAATGACATATGACACCACTTCGCACAATGGCATCAATAGCAGAATTTACCATTTTTATGCAACAGATGTTTACTGCAGAAATAAAACACCGGTGAAAACACTCGAGTTTTCTGGCAATGGTGGAGGTACCACACTCTCATTAGTGTACCAGTAGTTTAGAAACCAAAATCAGAGACTAGTAAATTACAGTGGTAATTTAAAAAAAAAACTTTAAAAAAAATCTAAAAAATCCCCCTTCCCAAGCATAAAAAAAAAAAACTTTAAAAAAACAAAAAAACCCCCCTTACCAACCATTGATTTAAAAAACCTGCCTATACAGTACACAGCCATGACTTTTAGAATCAACGCATGTGGCCAAATCAATAATTTGCTAATTAAAAATCACCTCTGTTATAAACAAGCATTATGTATGCAAAACTTTGGCTTCCTGTTATTAAGAACCCTGGCACTACCACTATTCCAAAAATACAATATTGTTTGATTGTTATTGGGAAATCTTCAGCCAGTTACTGCAAGTTTCTGCTACAATTGTCTCTCCTTTTTTTCATATAGTGCCAAATCAATAATTTGCTAATTAAAAATCACCTCTGTTATAAACAAGCATTATGTATGCAAAACTTTGGCTTCCTGTTATTAAGAACCCTGGCACTACCACTATTCCAAAAATACAATATTGTTTGATTGTTATTGGGAAATCTTCAGCCAGTTACTGCAAGTTTCTGCTACAATTGTCTCTCCTTTTTTTCATATAGTGTAATTCAGCATAATTATTTGCTTGTGTGAATTCCTCAAGGGTCTGTAAAAATTATCAACCACAACAAATGTGCATTAGTGGATCTTTGGAGTATCCTTCTGACATATTTTTGTGAGTGTCACCCATCACTTGGGAAGATATTAGTGCTCTACTAATGCTCCTGATAAGAGTTCTCTATTACTTTTTGAGTATGGATTATTCTTTAAATTTCAAAAAAATCCACTGCTGTTCAACTTCCATCTCTCCCCTTTCTTGGCCTCATCCTAAACTAAGCATTTTTAATATTGACAAAAGGGGAAATTCCAAGTCAGACTGCATTAAGTCTGGAAACAAACCAACCCATACATTTGTAAGGCAACCCAAGTAAACAAGAAAACCCTAACAAGAAATTCAGAGTATTATTACTGCTTACTTTAAAAAAAAAAAAAAATATAGTATTATTTCTGCTTTCTTTAAAAAAAAAAAAAAATCCATTTGAGCAGAAGAGTGAAAGGACAAAACGTTTACTGCAGTTCCAGAGACCCTCGAGGGGCAATTATGAGGTGTTTCCTTGTGGGTACAACCACATTCTTTCCTGTTAATGAATACTTATTATTAAACTTAGTCTCCCAATAATAACTGAAAGATTCTCTTGTCCTGATGCAACAGAGCAAACTCTTGTGTTTAAACCCACTGATTTAGAGTGCAGATGCTGAGATAGCTGCAGTGGGTTAGCTAGCCAATGCCTTATCTCCTTCCAGTTTGTCTCTGGCATTTAGTGGACCTTAATTTAAGGCTGATCCAGCTACTTTTGCCTCTGCAGACCTTCTTTCTTGTGGGTTCAAAAGAATAAAACAACCAAGGTTATAACTGATTCTGCACCTTCACAGGCGTTTTAGGTCTAAAGCGAACTGTATAAACTAGCCAGTGCTTCTGGGAAGGTGCTGGCCCAGCATCTGCTCTTTTCAGGGTGGCAGCATCTGCCACCTTCATTCCTTCACCACTCAAACCCAGCCACAAGTGCAAGTGCTGTTGATCAAAAGGTCAGCAACATGCAGAAGGGGATGTTCTACGTTCAGCTGTGGGTGAAAAGGTTAAAGATGCAGAAAGGAATGACCGTCAGCAGCCACTGTACATTAGCTGAAGAGCTAAACAGCTGTCCTCCTATAATCTCCCTGCTCATACCGATAATGTACAAACAAGTATTAATCAGCTAGCAACTTGGTCCTGCCTATTTATTAGTGAGCATACTACCTACACAAGCCTATTGAGTTAGGACTAGAGTTGGTAGTGTCTACATTGAGACTAACCAGGCAAACTACCTCAGAAACACCACTTTTAAGCGAGTCACTGAAGAATTGCACTTACCTTGGGGGTAGTACAGGTTCTAGCTGAGGCACTCCACCCTGTTCTGAATGATCCAACTCCTACAAAGATTCAAAACAAAAAAGCCATTTCTTTAAGCCTAAGAAACAAAAATGATCTTGTTTAAATGATGCATTTCTTATATTAAATTATATCCTACAGACAGGAAAAACAAGAGTTTCTGGAGGTCTGGGAATAAAGTAGTAAGTATTATGGTGTGTTCTAGCATTTTGAAGTCTTGTTGGACATAGAGGGAGATGTAAATAACCTGGTTGACTACCTGAATCACAGCTTAAATTGTGCGTTAGGTATGACCCAGCCCTCTTTTCCTACTGCTTGGGAGTCAGGGCTTAAGAGCCAAATTCAGGGGAGTCATACAAATGTAAAATTTCACTGTCCGTAGGATCCCAACTGCTACAGTTACATTATCAATTTTGATTTAACTTTGACAGATGAAACACTTTGAACAGGCTTAAAGCAGAAAACATGACACTGATTCAACTTGCACAGGACAGCGTCTCTTGCAAATAACATTAGCTCTCATTAAAGAAGGCATCTAAGTATGTTTCCTAGAGATCTAGCAGATAAACCCTGGTGAATCTTGCTTTGGCAGATTAAGGCGTCACTCCTCCCAGCTGCCTATCCTGACCCTGCCAGAGATTACTACCCTGTAGCAGAGTCAGCAGAGGGGAACATGTGCCATGTCTGAAGGGCTTGGACCACAGTAATGGATTAACAAGTTACCATCCTTTCTGCCTCATGCTGTTCATTTTCATCCCAGTGCAAGAAAGTACTGCCAGCTCCACTGAACAAGCACAGCTGCTTGTGGAACAGCATGGTAAATCAGAGTGCTGAATCTGGGTTCAAAAGTATCCTTTTCGAACCAGTAATTTTAAATAGGTCTGAACAGTCTTGTTTACTTTATTAGTGATACATGTGCTTGAAACTGGTAAACAATTTCTGTGATTTTTCCCACCTAGAAAATACCTAGATGTATTTTGTGACAAAATTTTGACCCATGATTTAAGTCCCCAAATGAATGTTCCTGATTAAACGACCCTGATTAGAAAGAAAACAACCTGCCGCTTTCAGATGGGGGTGTTATCCTCATACCAAAAATTTTCCTCTTCTGTGTGAAAAGGAAGAAATCTGTGCCAACTGCTGCTTACGGTCAACAGTTTTTGCTGTTGCTGGTTAATCACTTCCATTGACAAACAATATTAGTTTTAGAAGCACAGAAGTTCTTATCTTTCCAAAGTAAGATTTAAATGTTTCAGTGGATTTGATGCAGACTTTTTCTTAAAAAAATCCTCTGAAGCTTACACATGCCTGTCACGATAACCTCGATGACACTGTAAAAGTTTTGGGGTTGCATTGTATAAAATGTCATTTAATGTCTTGTATGGGAAATTATATTTTCAGCATTATCCAGAAAAAAATGGGACCTCTATGAATAGCCTCTTCAATCATCACATTTAAAAACCCCTTTATCCTATCAGCAGAGGTAGCCACAAAGACATTTGTTGGCAGCTGTCCATCTAGTAAGGGCTTTTGATTTGATTTAATCTTTTTACTGCCTGTGGTTTCAACAAGATTCTCTACCATTCTTGCCATCACAGCACTCAATATTTGGAAATTCTACTGTCATTTTCTAGTTTATTTTAAATCCCTTTTGTAAATCTGTATCAACGGGCATATAGGATACACAGCTACAATGTCTACTGTTACTATGTGCTCAGGAGCGAGGAGCAGAGCCTTACTTTCCAAAATAGATGGTTCTACTCAGGCTTTGACAGGACCAGTAGAAAACAACTAGAAGGAAATAGCTCAAGGGACGTGGTTTAGTGGTCATGGTGGTGTTGGGTTGACGGTTGGGCTCGATGATCTTAGAGGTCTTTTCCAACCTTAATGATTCTATGATTCTATAATTCAAGAAAGCAAGCTTCATTCACCTACAGAAAAGTTTCCTCTGCCTGGAAATTAGCACAGACACTGAGAGGTACTGTGTGTATGAAGGTAAAAAAATAAGTTTATAAAGAACTTTGACAAGATTCTATAACAAGAAAGCAAGCTTCATTCACCTACAGAAAAGTTTCCTCTGCCTGGAAATTAGCACAGACACTGAGAGGTACTGTGTGTATGAAGGTAAAAAAATAAGTTTATAAAGAACTTTGACAATATTTCACTATGTAAATCTCATTGGACTTTGAACCACTTTGCAGTGCTTTTGAAACTAAATTGTAGAATATCCTGATTCCAGCTGCTAAATACAGAAAATTGAAGATAGATGTGATCAAAGTTCAGTAAAATCAATGAAGTGCTTTTCAGAACTGACAGCAGTCTAAATTACCTAATTAAATCAGAGAACGCAATTAAAAGAAAAAAGCCTTTTATTTTTGAGTAGTCCTTTTCATCCTTCAGATAACTTACTTTACAAATGCTTGAGAGTCACAAGAGATCTGTTAACCAACGCAGACAAAGTTGTAATACAGGAAAACAGTTCTAACTTACCACTTTTTTTACTAGGTCACCACTGTTGGGTTTTCCCACTGTGATATCGGAGGTGTTCCCAATAGGCTTTTCAGCAGGAAGTGGTGGAGGGCTATGTGGGATTTCATTTAAAGCTGTAAAAAAACAAAAGTTCCCAAATGAAAGTCTAATTAATAGCTTCTTTACATGGACCAACAAGAGGTAAGGGAATCCACCTTGGTTTGGGGCATTTTTTTGTGAACGTAACTTCCTTCCTCAAAGCCAGAGCAGCCAATGGGCAGGACCACTTAAAGACTAGTGAAGAGAAAAGGGACGTGAAGGGAACATTGCAACTCTGAGGTTGACTTCAGGAGTACTTCCCATCCTGCATAACGGATCTTCACTTTACTCTCAGGACACCAGCAAGTTATTCTAGGGTTTCAGGGTTTCAGCTGCAATACTTGTTGATATAATACTAGACAAGTGGAAGAGTTTCCACACCTGGGAATGTCAGACTCATTACTGGATGAGTCTGAAACACCATCACCATCTCTCAGCCACATTTCTAAACTGGCTCACTGTTTTCAGCTGTCAGCTCCTGGAATATCCTTCAGGCTGGAAAACAGCTGAAGGTTATTTCAAGTAACCCTGAAAGATCAGGAGACTTGGATGGAATAATCTCCAGAAAGGTAAAGGCAAGAAAAGAAACCATTGCCTGCTACAAAATTCAGGGTGACAGAAAGAAAACAGAGATGGAAGCTCCCTGGTAGTCTTTAAGGAGCTAAGCAAATTTAGGACATGGAAGAGGAAACAGTACAGCTCTTACTAGGGAAGAGTGATGATGTCCTCAGTCTCAATAAAGAACACAAAAACCTGCTAATTATATGATATTTGCTTTCAACATCTCTGCCATTGAAACCTGGGAAGCACTTGGACAGGTTTTGCCAGCGTATTTACCAATCATGTTGTCTTTATATATTGGAACCTTGTCATCTATTTTACAATGTGTTTGTGTACCAAGAAAATTCATTTCATACAAAGCACTTCAGACATATAAGCTCTTCTGACTTCCAGCCAGTCTTGGAGTTATGCAAAAATATGTGTAGACAGCCTGGACATTTATAGACTGATGACAAAAAAGAGGAGAGATTCTATCCAAATGAAAACTTTCAGTTGCTCATTTCATGAAAAGTACTCTCAACAAAGAAACAACACATAGGAAGGAGAAGTGTTGTTTGTTTTTAACACCTCAGTTGCAATACTATGATCTAAAACACTGGTGTGATGTTTAAAAATGGATCAGTTCAAGGATAAATCCCTTATTCTTAGGAGCAGGTCATGTTGGCAGTGACTAAGAATGGGGAAAAAAAGTCAGTGAAGTTCATGACTCTTCTAAGCTAGTATGATGGATGAAAAGTAAAACCAATACCTGACAGTAATTGCAAGAGAAATCTTCTCTCATCATACCTTACTGATATATAAAAAGCACGAGAGATTTATTTATTCACACTTCAAATCTTGATATATACACAGATGGCCTAATTTCCTCGCCTTTACTCTTTATAAGACCAAAATTAAAGGAAATAAAGGAAGAAAAAAACTGCCAAGAACTAGAAGGCAGGTGTTATTTTCAGTGATTTCTAAGTGTAATAACTGAAGTGGAAGCTTAATGCTTCCTTTCTAATCACATCTCGACAAAAATGCTAATGCTAAATGAGTGCTTTACTGGAGTTCAAATTCTTAAGCATTCAGCTCTGTTCCCTTTTTGGTAGTGCTGGGGGGGAGGGGGGTGTTGGTTTATTGGGGGTTTTCTTTTTGGTTTGTTCTGGTTCCTGACAGAATTAATCTCCCTCCAAACCCACGATGGTGAAAGACCCCTTGTACTGAGATTATGTGGCCCTCTTACAAGGTAAATCCTACTATATCCATGTTATACCTTAGCCCAGTTGCACTTTTCTCATTTTTTAACTTGCAACAGCTTACTCTTCTGCAGGAGCTCCTATCTGACAAAAGACTACTCTGCTTTCTTGGAACCTGCTATTTGTTCCTCCACATCCCCTTAATCTTCCAGCCACAGCCTCCCATAAAGCAGTCCTTCACACCCCCCTGACAACTGTAGGTAAGCACAGTATGACTGGCAGTCTCCTGTGGAAAGTTCAATTACCACTAGAGAGCAGCAATGGACCAGTTATCTACAAGTTCAAAAGAGAATCCAGCTCAGGAAAAAAAAAAGAAAAAGAAAAAAAAAATGTCAGGTGGTTTTTTTTAAATGGAAATTATAATTTCCTTTGTGGAGAAGAATTACGTCTTGGGTTCTTTACAGTAGTTCATAAACATATTCTTCCAACTGAAAAAACCTTTTATTTATGATCAGGTATTAACAGAAAGACTTTTCCTCATAGCTTTATCTTCAATCTTTTCTGCATTTTTAACCATTTCCACTGCATTTCTCAGCTATGCAGAGGAAAAGAAAACCTAGTATTTTAGCAGCACGGGGGAGGGGGGGGGAGGGTAGGCCAAGAAGGGAACTCGGGAAATAATGAGAGAAAGTCTTAGGAAAAAAGCCACATGGACATCTAGTTGCTACAAGCTGGCTCTACACCTACTCAGTGTAGTAAAACATGACTTTGAAATATGAGTTTTAAGAGCTATCTTGTGACATTTCTCCCTAAGCTTTGAGAATAAGACATAAGGCTAAACAGAAGCAGGTACGTACTCCAGCATACAAAGATCAACAAAAAGACCTTGTGGGTCTCTGATAAATTTCCACTCTGAGACACTGTCAGTGTCATTTGTAAAGCTGTAAAGGATTAGAGGTGGAAGGCATTAGGGATACGGTAACTGTCAGAAAACCATAGTCAAGACCTTGACACAAATTGAACGCATCAGGTTTTTGCATTCAAGTTCTCGCGTGCCTTTTTTATTCCCTCAACTGCTACCAAAACACTATTGCTTCAATGGCCACAGATTTCAAATGTAACAAGGGTCAAGGGATCTTTTTGATGTAAGCTGTGAAAACTATGCTTACATCCCAACTAAGCTGTGTTTGAAGCAAAGTTTAATACACTAATGTTGTTCCTTTGACAAGTGGGGGCCCTGCTCCCAGGAAGCTCGGGAGCAGCATTAAAATATCCTCAGCTGATGTCAGAACACAAGTCAATTTGACCAAAGGTACAGCTCAGTGATATGGTTTGGCTGACGAAACAAGCTTGCTTCTGCTGAAAGGGTCACCTCCAGCTCTTCCCTGCCAGCCTTTAGATCCCCCCCCACACACTGTTTCACCTCTGATATGCATTAGCTTCATAAGGTTTGAGGGACATCAAATTTAGTGCACAGGAGGGAATCAGACGAGGTAGCTGGGAGGCAGGGAGCAGGGAACGTGACTCCCAGCTATTTCTCCCTCGCACCACAGCCCTTAGGTTGGCTCCTCTGTCTTGTCAAACTGTACCACAGGATTCCTTTGGCAGCTAATATAGCTTGTAAACAGCAACTCAATTAGTAAATAGTAAGTCCCACCTAAAATGATTTTCTGACAGATTTCTCAGACAATTTGGGAGAAGAGCTTACATTTCCCGGGTTTAGCTGGGATTCGGATCACAGTGGGTTTCCGGGCTAAAGCTGGTTGAGCTGTCTGTTCCTTTGCAGGTTCACTTCTGGTGAGGAACTGAAATGGATCTAAAAGGAAAAGAAAAACCCAACATATTTAATATCTATTTGTTGAACACAAATCTCACTGGGTATTGCTTTCATTATTAAGAACATTTATATTTCACACCCAAGAAAGTCATAAAAAAAAATATAAATCAGGCTGATACAAATAGCGTACTCAGCTCTTCGTAAATAACATGTCTTTTCTGTACATCTGCAGTCATAGTTGACTTAACATAAACATGCTCCAGATGCCTTCTGGGATTATATAAGCCACTGAACGAGAGGAACTGCATTGCTTGGTAATAGGGACCTGAAATCAGGATGGCTTTAGGGAAATGTTTTCAAAGCAGTTGCTCTAATATGCAGACATAGCTGTGAACTCATTCACTAAAAAGTTTTAATCAAGAAAATCTTGCCAAAGCCAAACAGTCAGCACTGCAGCAGATAAAATGCCTACAGAAACAAAACAAAACAAAAAAAAGCATTTAAATATTACTGATTACAGAATGTCTTTGCTGTAGAACAACTGATTTCCTGGAAGATTCTGCATCATTTTGTTGATTATAAACGTGGTATCATGGGGGAGACTGGTTCAGACCAAGGACTGGGAGTCGTGCCTGAGCTCTGCCCCTGCCTGTATCACTCATTCCTCTACAAGCCTGTGCAATCATTCCATTGGTAAGACACGAGCAATGTTTTCTATGCTTCAAAAACTTAAGCACTGGTCTTTTATTAATAGGCATGGGAACATATGCGCATGTAGAAGGCAGCTGTAAAAATACTTGTACATAAATAAAATCCAAATCAATGGATTCTTTCTCAAGTACACCTTCACGTCAAAGAGCAATACTTTATTTATACCTCTTCTCTGTTGTTAACAACTGCTACCTTTTTCTCTGACATTACCAAAAACTGCAGTAAAATGGCAACACCTAACGGTATCGTAAATATGTAAAGTAGAAACTGGAGAAGCACTCCAGACAATAAATTCTCCATGACACATATTCATAGCCCCAACAACTGAGCTTGATCTCCTCTGGTGGCCTTTTTAGATGTGTAGCTCAATGAGATGTTATTTATGGAGTGTCAGAGTCTCTGAGAGGAAGTATGCCAGGCATCTCTTTAAATTCTTCAGGACTTTTTATAAAAACATACCCTTTCCCAAAACGACCGCCACACTTTCTGTTTTATAAAAACATACCCTTTCCCAAAACTACCGCCACACTTTCTGACAAAGTTGGAAGCCCTGTATTTGATAAAATTTTATCTTCGACACTTATGAAAAACAATTTAAAAAATTATGTAACATGAAGTCATGATTTCTTATGATTTCTTATGATTTTGGATATGATCTTATGATCTTTCTGATGATTTTGGATAGTAAAACACAATGCAGTTTATCAAGACACTAGAAACCCGTGTCTGGGAATACACGTAAGATTTAAGAAAATCCAGAAATAGGGTATTTATTTATGAACAATCTCATTAAAAACCTTTTAGCATTTTAATTAAAAAAGCGTTGGCATTTTTAGAGAGAGGGGAAGACGACCAAGTACATCAAGCTCTGTATATTTTTTTTTTTAACCAAAAATAGGCCCAAAGTAATTTCAGAGAGGAAAAACACTGTGTAATATTGAGCTGCTGCATTACAGTGTAATGGACTGCCCTCCTGCATGCACACGACTTGGAGGTCACAGCTCCCCCAGCCTCTGCTGCCGCTCCTCCTTGCCCGGCGCTTCTGCCTGCAGCTGGCAGCCCCCTCTGCCCGTGCCCCCAGCTCTCCCCAGCTCCTGATGCCAGCACGCAGCTGTAGCAACAGCAAGGACAACACGCCGCAGGGCCCATGCATGCTCACCCCTGCTCAGATGTCCATGTCCCTCTAGCTCCTTGCTTAAGGCTCTCTTCGTAGGCATATCTGTCACGTACAGGTGTACCATGGGGGTTTGTGCCATGGTCTCTCTCAAAGTCAAGACATCTACCTGCCTACAGGCTGCCCAGAAATCTGCCTGGGTACCTTCACGTCACATTTTAATCATGAATCAAAGCACATCAATTCCTTCTGTCAGGCTGCCTGTACAACAGCTTTGAGCATACACTTCAGGTAGAAAGGATCATGACAGGTCAACGATTTGTCTACAGCTAAAGGTATACAGGCTATAGTTAAAAATAAGCTCTGTTACCATCTAGACAGAAGATGGCTCCATCACGTTGTGCCCAAAGACACTGGCACATCCAGAAACTAGGCACAGGCAACCCACAATGTTTTAGAAGGTAAGGGTAAAACTAGTATCTTGTTTAAGTTACGGATTAGCACTAATCAGTGAAAGGTTTAGGTCTCTTCAGTGAAAGCTGCATCAGAGCAAGGATTTTTCTAGGGGACTTGAAAACACAGACTACAAGAGGGGTGCAAGCATTCTGGCAGTATGGTCATTACAAGAAACAAAAACGCCACTCTTAGAGCAAACGTGCCATTATAATTTTCTTTTATTCCTTTATACCTATGTCTGCTAGCTACACTGCTAACATTTGAATTGCATTAAAAAAAATATGATTTATCTGATCTTAACTCTTATGTTGGTGTTCAGAGTGACTGTAGTGCAGCTGAAAAAAAAACCCCGAAAGTGAGCTTTCTTCTCTCTTTCAGTTATCTGGCAACTCTATGACAGATTTGAGGAGTGACCCTGGCGAGGCAGCAGGGCAGTGGGGCCTCAAAGCTGCACTGGCCCATTGGGAAGCTGGAGACACAGGGTGAGCAGAGGAAAGGTGAGCAGGGCTAAGTCACGGGCTCCTTGACACAGCAGGACCGTAGGGCACAGGCCAGCACACGGAGCACCTCTCAAGGTAAGGTTCCGCAGAGGTTAAGGAAGTTCTTCATGAACAATGAGGAAACAATTTTCCAAAGCTTCCATCTTACAGAAATATAGACATCATGAGAACAAGTGGAAACGCTCTAAACCCCCCAAATAATCACAGATCTGTATTCTTGTAAATTTATGGGAGATTTAAAATTGTACAAAATTACTGTTTGTCAGCTGTTAATCATAGCTATGCGTAGAAATGGGTTTCTTGACCATTCAACAGTGGTCTAGGAGAACAGAGGTCTCTAAATCAATAAATCTGAGAAGTAATTTTTAAGTCTGAGAAAAGTCATTTCTAAGGCTGAGAAAACCATTCAATGAACCTTAGTTTTCCACTCATTATCTTATGTTCAATTATACTGTTGTCACCTCATAATTAGTTTAAAACTCATTACCTTGTTTGTGTTATTCCATTCCCCAGTGTTGGGTTTGCAGCAGAAATTGGCTGAGTAAATGACTGCGCTGCTTTGTGCAATGGGACTGACAACTTATCAAATTTTTATGTTGTTTAACAACAATTGGGCATCATTTGAGCATAATTCACGGAGGTGTGAAAACAGAATTGTTAATATACTCTAATTTAAAGCTTCTCAGCTCAAGGAAATTAATCTGCAAGGCATTTTTCATAACACATATCAACAGACTGCTATTGATTTTTTTTTATTAAACTTTTACAATGATGCTTAAAGCCTGTGTCTTCCTTAGTCTCACTTTTCTACAGCTTCTGTTTCAAAGGTTTATGTGATAACATATATTACCATGCTTGTTCACAGGAAAGACAAATGAAAGCTGTGTATTCAACTACACCGTATATCATCTCTTTCTTTTACCAATTTAGGAGAGAGTCGTGTCGTCATCCCCCCCGCCCTTCTCATTTACCATCCTTGTTTAAAATAAACAATTAGGAGGTTACAGAACAAACAGTAGGTTTTGCCCATGTGAGCAGGACAGATGGATATCTTCCTGAAATATTTATTGGCAGTTTTTAAGTAAACGGTAGTAAGATGGTAACAGATACCTCAGCAGCAACAAGGGGAATCTCCAAACAAATCAGATGTGGAAAGCTAAAAGCACGGAACAGCAGTATCTGCTGTGAAGATGCTCAGTCCTGCAAGAAGTACTCTCAGGACACATGAGAACAACGTAGTATGAAAGGTGGTGATGCTGACATTACACCACTTGCCACTACAGAAGTATACAACTGTGTTTACTTTCAATGTTTAATTAAAAAAACTAAATCAGCTGTTAAAGGCAAAGCTCACACATTCTCTTCACACAGAACAGTATCGTTATCGGGGTCTCCTAGGAACAGAGAATAGAGTCAAACCTCATCAACAAATGTTTTTATTAAAACCTAGCCCCATGAAACCACTCTGGTGTTTGTGGAAGTATATTTAACCCATACTTGGGGGAAGATTTTCAACAACAGGGCCCTCCTGGTAATATAGGAGGAGATTCAATGGAAACCTGACAGGTAACACCCCAAAGAGGAATGGGGTCCATGCTGAAGAAACACTGTGAAATGCTACAACCAGAAGTCTGATGTTCACTCAGATGCTCTAAATCTCAACCTATTTACAAGTATAAACGGATATATTAGACAGGTATCCTGCCTAAATTCCGGCATCAGTGATTTTCCCATCTCAGTTTTCCCCAGTATTTTTCATCACCAAAATTAACAGTTCACTGTTCTTAGAAATGGTATTTCTGACCCAGAGAGAACAATATGGACTACACCACCTTTCTCAAAATATGCAATTTGCAGCTCCCTCTGCATAGAAAATTGCCGTGATCTGGTCACGACCGTATCTTTTAATAGACTGGGAAATTAAAAAAGAAAAAGGAAAAAAAAAGAGAGAAAGAATGGGATGCAGGCTATTTCAGGATGTAATTTGTGCATAACCTGAAAGTAAGCTCTGGTGAAACTCAGGCTTCTCAGCACTCTCCTAAGACTAGGAGAATAGACCAGGTCACTCAAATAAAAGGAATACAGTATTCAGGAGTAGACTTAGTATCGCTTCAGTCTTAAAATTGGAGCAGAGGCAAGCAAATCTGCTATCATAATGTTCTAGGATTTCTTTCTCCCCAGTCTACACAGAGGTTTTTCATGACTAGCCCAGTTATTTTGGTAGAGGCTATGAACGGCCTGTGTGGTCCTGCTTCATT